GCGTTTACACGTATATTGTGGATTCTTACTCGAGAATCTTCTACAACTTTAGAGAATAGGCGAGAGTTTCGCAATACATATTTAACGGTATAAGTTATGTACATTTCTAAATACAAATTTAATTTAAACAAGCATCGATATTAAAATAAATGTATAATAATAAATCCGTCACATACGCTATACTTTGTTACTGGTAGTTAATCTTCTAGTGTTATAATTCTTGTGTAGTCAACAGGGATTTCCTAACAAACTGTAAAACTATTTGAAGCTAGTCGAAACTCCCATCCGTGATTCTGTGTGAAAATGAACTCTCACTATGTATTCGTCCTCAATGTCAAGTACCCACACATGAAGTGTATGGGAGTTTCTCACAGGGAGGATAAATTCTAACTTTCTTCTTACTGGAATTTTTGACCACTTACTGTTCGCATCAATCCGTCTTGCTTCAACCTTCATTACCAGAACAGATTGAAAAATGGAAGCTGTAGATTGTAGAACCACCATCATTTAACATGTTTCAAGACTTCACAATAATCAACCCACTGACTAGTGGACTGTGTCTTTAAATAATGAGCTCCTTCTCTCATTTGTAGCAGATGGAATACTCTTAGCTAAACTTAATTCCTTAATTAAATAGTTTGCTATGGGTTGTCACATTCAGAGAGCGAGAGGCAGTTCTGATTGTTGTATTTTGTAATTCAGTACCCAGATGTTTTACTCTGGCACTGGTTTCCTTTTGTATTTTAGACTCTTGTTATATCTTTTCTGTAAAAGTTCTCTAGTTTTTTGTTTCACTTTGTACACTATTCTTTAATCATTATTTCTCTCTTAATTTTCTGTATCTTTGTACTCTATCTTTCCATTGTTTTACGATTTCCAGCTAATTTTTGATATTGCTACGATTAAGTGTTGTTATCTTGAAGTTCATTCTAGATTTATTTAACAAATAATTACACTCCAGTCACAAGTGTTATAAAGACTCATATTTGTGGACGGGTTTTTTTCCCGGATTATTTGATTAAAAGTATAAAACAAAGGCTAGTCCGGTTAACAATAACAGAACTGTTTTACTTATCGAACTTCAAATTCCACAGTTAGCATAACAAACGCTTCACTACTAGGCTAAATTTTACAAATAATCTTTGTCTGAACGGAAATTCCATATGAACTAACTAATTAGCTGACAATCGAAAACTGACTAAATCTTATTGCTCGTTAACCACTAGACCCATTTAATCAACTTAACTCACCTTTTATATATATATAAGGCTCAAATTGTTTTCTAGACTTTGGAGGAAGTTCCAGGCATTAATATCATGACCCACCATATGAAACTTCCTCCCGGCTATACAATAACACGAATTTCTTGAAATATCGAGATTAAAAACATGCCTACCGTTGTAACGGTTTGTCTCTGTAACGGGTTCTTTTGAATTGTTCAGTAAAAAGAATGCAATTTTCAGCTCATGTAATGATAAATAAAATTGTTTTACCTCTTTATCCACAATTTCAATAAATTAGTAATATTAATGTTCACTGACAGACATAAATTCACAGCAGATACTAAAACAATTTTGTTTATTTACTAATTTTCTCTTACTTTTTCGTCAAAACACAAATTTAATAATCACAGCACTAAACTAACTGACCAGCAAACGCAATCAAGTAATAATGTCACTACTTCAGAAACTCAATATAAATTATGAATACTCAATAATTAATAATTGTCTAGACTAACTTGCTTTTCATATAGCTCGAACTGTTCTAAAGCTTCAGAAAATTAGTTGTTAAACCATGCGTTCATCACGTGACACCAATCTTCCCTTTAGCCAAAAAGCAACAGAAACATGTAAAATTGAAACATAGCCTACAATGATACGTTAGTGAATATTTTGGAAACATCAAAACTGAGTATTGTAGCATGTGATATTATTGTGGTGATTCTGTAGTATCTACAAAGTAAACTAAGTTTTTGGCACATGAGGAAGTTTTACTGCATATTGCTAAAGGTGATATTATATCTACAAGATATGCCAAAACGTAGCATGTTAACTTGTACCGAGGAAATTAGCCTTGGTTGTGAATTTTAGGTAGAATAGACGTTTGGGGTGGTACTTTGGTATAAATTTGTTTATGTACCTAGTTTCTTCTGTTGTATATTGAAGAATTGATTTTTTTTTTCGAATTAGTTGTATTAGATCTCGTAGCGGCCATCTACAACAAGAGTTTGAAGTTTGTATATTCTCGTTTGTTTGTTATAACAGTTTGTTTGTTATGGATTTCACGCAAAGCTACACGAGGACTATCTGCGCTAGCCATCTTTAATTTAGCAGTTTAAGACTAGAGGGAAGGCAGCCAGTCATCACCACCCACCGCCAACTCTTGGGCTACTATTTTACTAACGAATAGTGGGATTGACCGTCACATTATAACGCCCCCACGGCTGAAAGGGTGAGCATATTTGGTGTGGCGGGGATTCGAACCCACGACCCTTAGATTGCGAGTCAAGCGCCCTAACCACCTGGCCATGCCGGGCCCTGTTACAACAGCGTCACCACTTTTGGCTGGTGGTAGATTTGTTATTGTTCTTTCTTTGTATTACTGAGAACAGTTTTGACTAAAAGGTTGTAGACTTAGGTGAGTGTATAGACTACTAAATATTAGAATGATAACTAATGTGCTTTGTGTAATTCAAACTTTTATTTTTAAACAAGAAAATGCGAGTAGTATGATTTACAAAGTTAGTTGAAGGTGAACTCAAACCTTAAAATAAGATAGCATTTAGTATAACAGTTTAGAGACGGCTTGAATGGGTATGGATGAAAATTTTTCTACAAGTTTAGTACTGTAACACGTATACAACGTTTCGACAGGGATAACAAAATAACTTATTACGGTGTTAAGCTTGTAATCGTTTTTTGTTACCCTTTCAAGAAGTACCTAAACTTGATAGTATCAAAGTAGGTTTCTCGTAATAAAATATTTAGTATACCTTATAAGCTCTGTGCAAGTAAGAGATGAACTGGAACTACAAGATATTTTTAGGAAATGAACCAGCATATCAGGCGGTTCGACTAAAATCCAGCATGGTACCGTTTATTGAAGATAATCAATTGCAGGTTGTGGGGGAGATATTTAAGAAATAGCTTACATTCTTCTGTTAATACAGAGGAGAGGAGATGAACGGTAGGTCTTGATAAATACTGTACTGTAATGGCGCATGGTGAAGCGAACTATGTGAATACTATGAAAGCTCGGAGCAGCGAAGGGCAGCATTGGACTCTGGCAAAAATCTTCGGACGTTAGTGTACTGAACAAGGATACAATGCAGTAAGTTTATCTTGACTATGATTCCTTGTGTAATCCTTCACCCTCTTTCATCCGACTGTTTGTTCCCTCTTCAATATACCATCCGTTTTTACAGATTATTGCATTGTTACGTATTAGAATTTCAAATAGCCTGAAATTGAGTTAACTGATAAATTTAAATTTAGTAGTTAAATTGTATGTTGGATTTAGCAATTAAGTAAAAGCCGATATATAGTCAGTTTATGACATTTGCCAACAAGATTGATAGACACAGTTTTTTAACACTAATACGTTTTAATATACACACAGTACAATTTACAATAACATTTATTACAAATAGTTATTACAAACAATGATTTATAAACAGAAGTTTATAGTCTGGAACTTCCTTGATGTCTTATCAAGGGTTCACGACGAGCGAGTTAATTACGAGTTAATGTAGATATAATTCACCTAATAGGAGGCTAGCTAGCTGACGTTAGGTAATGTTTTTGTAAAAATACTAATGTCCGATGACAATCCACTGAAGTTAAACGATTTGTAATGTTCGAACTTTGTAAAGGTCCCTGACCAAATATCTGAAGTTTTCCTATTGGTAAGCGTTATAACAATTACAGTTATAGCTTCCGAAGTTTTATAGCATACTGATTATAGCGAACTAGTGATAGATATTCTCCTTTTGACGCGTCACGTTGGTTATATTTATAGGCGTGTGGAGGTTTTCTTGAAATTTCAGTTTTACGTAACAATACTGGGGCTAACATAAACGTTTACGTAC